ATCGTGATTTCTCAATCTGACGAAGCAGCGACTGTACACCAAGACTGTCGCGGATGTCTGTATTCTGAATCAAATCAAGACGTAAGGCCAGAGACTCGTCTCAGAAAGCCCATTTCAGCATCTTGTACCCGGGTTCCAAGCTGTTCAGGCATGGTTCACGACTCATGGCCGTAGGTAAGCATGGGGAGAAAGATCGACTTGAATACCGAGAGTTTAGCTTTCTGACTCAGCTTTGCTTTAGACACAGATAATTCTGGCTAAGTCTCTCAGAACGCCACTGGCTACTCCAATTCTTCGGTCGATTTCTTCCTCAAATTTTTGATCACTAGTAAATACGACTCCGAAGTACTTGAACTTCTCCACCTGCTCCACTGCCTCTCCGTTAATTTGAAGAGAGCAACGAGCAGAATAACGACAAAGCTTTAGACTTTTCGTTTTAGTTGCGTTCACACGCCTGCCGGTCATGTCGCACTCGGCTACGAACCTTTCTAGGGAACGCTGTAGATCAGTTTCAGAAGATGCCAATAAATCCAGTTCGTCTGCACACGGCAACGTTCATCGTTTCGACTGTTCCTGACTACTCTATCCACGTACCATACAAACAGGAGAGGGGACAGGACGCAGCCTTGGTGAAGACCAGTGTAGACGTTGAAAGACTTCGACTTAACATTTTATATGCTCTGTTGCAGCACCTGCTATCAGAATAAAGTGATGGGATGGCCCGTAGCTGCTAACCGTCTGTCCCGTATGCTCTAAGACATGATCACAGACTGTTGCGTGGGATCCGGTCATAGGTTTTTTCTAGGTTAATAAAATATGTACATCGGATGGGCGAACCTTCACGATTTCTCAGGTCTTGTGCATGGCAAATATATGGTCAGAGGTGCTTCGATTCAACCGGAAGCCACATTTTTCTTATATTTTGGAGTCGGTACGGCATCTCCTTTCGAGCACCTTTGCGTAGACTTTACTTGGGCGGCTCAATAAGATAATGCCCCAATAATTGGAGCACTCCCTATGGTCTTCCTTCTTAAATAGTGGCACAACAACTCCCGTTCTCCAGTTCTTTGGTGTCTCTCCCGTAGTCACTGGTGTTTGACAGACACGTGTAAGTCAGCACATGCCTTGTTCTCCTAATGTTTTGAGCATTTTCATCAATACCGCCCAACCCAATTAGAATACAAACTCAAAATTAATACATGGTATCATGGAGCCATTGACTGCTAGAAAGATTCCATGGGGCCCTAGATACCATTTGACGATTGAACTTCATTTGTATGATCTAGAGAAGAATCAGAAGCAAGCCTCAGTATATAAGGAGATTGACGGAAACGTTTCGATTTGTCTCATTAATTTAACATTTTCACAACTCCGATGGGCGGTTAGTCGTAGCAGATATTCGAGCCAAACACATACACAACCAGCCAACTGTCGTTTGATAAACGTGCGTATGGTACGGACCAAAAGGTCGAAGCAGATGTTTCGGTTTCACGTTCATATGAATGAGTATTTTGTCGCTTACTGTTTTCAGTGTTTTCACTGTTTTCTTCTGGTCATTTTCCTGAAACATTTAAGGAATTTTTTTTTCACGCATCTGGTGTTTAGATGTCACGTATGCTGGCTGCGAAAGCATCTCTGGCTTGTCGTGTTGACGCCCTTGGCGAAGGCGTGACCAGCGAACTGGGTGTCGAACATCGCGCTCGCCTCGAACAGAGATTGCAGTCACTTCAGGAACACGGTGTACATGGCTTTTATAAATCTAATTTTACGTGGTTTTCGGTTACATACGAATTTAGCTGAGAAGAATCAGTGGCACGATGAAATCGGGCAGAAAAGCTGCCAGCATCAGACCCGCCGGGTACTGGATTATTGCTTTTATTTCTGTGCCTGGCGTCTTCTAGTTGTATTTTGCTTTTTTTAGTGACTACGAGACCTACGACGTCAGGGCTGATTCAACGATGCCTCCCCGTAAGAAACACATTGTCGAAATCTCGACTGATGAAGGTAAGATTTTTGCAGTTTAATTAAACAGAAGGCTTTATCCACGTAGAAACTTATTAGCGTAAGTTAGGAAGTAGTAATTTTTGTTATTCATTTTTGCGTTATTTATGGACGCCAAAGTTTGGCTTCACAAATGTTTCATTTACTTGGGAAAAACAAATTGAGCACCACAGTTAACTATGGAACGATCAATTAGTGCAATGTAAATGCCTGGGAGGATGACAGGGTCCTTTGGCAGTGGATCTCGATTGACAGAAGGAGTCTGTTGATCAGTGTGAAATGAAATATTCCTTGAAAAGCGCTCCAGTAGGAGCGCTTTTAACTCAAATCAGGTACGTGATACAGCAGGCCATGCACTGTTGAACTTTTCGTAATATAATTAAAAGGAAACGACAGTTAAAGTTTTTAAGCATTGAGGTATTTATTCCCTTAAGTTCCACGATAAGAATGTGCGGCAGGTTTTTTCGCAGCGCTTATAGTGCTGCTGCGACAGTGACCATTCAACGCCGACCTCTAAGAGTGCCATAATTCTGAAAGAGTGCCTGCAGATATTGATCGATTTAGCGTGCAATCCTCTCTTCTTTCCTACACAGAGGTACTCATTTGTTCATCTCATAAACTGAAAGGGAAATGACCGGGTTAGAATCCGAACCTCTCTGCATCTACCGTGATTCCAGCGCTCTACCGACTGAGCTAAACTGGTTGATGCAGAGAGTAGTGGCTTGTGCATGTATACACACATTATACACTTGTATGAGAAAACAAAGAACATCAGGCTTCGTTTCGCTGTTTCTTTCAGCCCTGAAATTATCAACCTTACAAGAGGGAGTGGACCATGTTTTGCCGTTGGTTGGGTGAACTTAACTCGCAGTACGGATTGACTGCCTGCTACACGTTCGCACGCGATTCGAACGAGGTTGTTTCTACCAATGAATTTATTCAGTGTAACCGAAGGCAATCTTAACTGTATTTTTTTGCTAGACTTCCAGCGCATTCCC